TCAGGGACTTTGAAAATGAATTGTAATAGAAGACCTGAGTTTGCCATCACTACTCAAACTGCAGCATCAGTTCAATGTTCAAAATTCTTAATTTAAGCACTTCTTTTTAGCATTTTATAGAGTTCCAGAACCTGGATTTTTGTGGATTTTTGTTTGTGCAAAATACATCGTAACAAATTGTTAGCTATAGCCTTTCTGGGTAGGGCACATGGTATGTATTTAAAATGTAAGATAAGCCATATGATAATCAAAAAGAAAAAGTCTGTATTGGGGGATCATGAAGTTTCAACTCATTAGATCAGTTATTCTTGATCTCACTAAAGATAAAAAATACTTCACAGGAAGATTAAATTCCAAGTTAACCAGTTATAACACATGCAAAGTTTTTCGAAAGCTAAGAAATGACCAACCTTCAGTCTGTTGACTTGTTCTTTGAGGTCGTGTTGCTCATTCATCAAACTAGAGATTTTACCATAAAGGTCTCTGTTCTCCTTTTTCAAATCGGACATTTCTGTTGAGGTGAATGCAAAGGGTATAACAATTGCCATTTTATACATGGTTTTGAGATAAACAAAAGCTGGAGGGAAACACATAGATGCAACAACAGTCCCCTCTTTGAGACAGAAAAAGCATTAAATAATAAGAAAGAATAGTAAGATACATAGGCAACATACAACTTAAAAGAAGAAATAAAAGACACTAGGGGCTCAATTCTTGAGGGATGATTTCGTCAAGTCTTGAAATGTAGCAAAACTTTTGTTTTTTAATCATCCAAATTGAAAGGAGTATTGAAAGAAGTATTGGTCAGGAACTATTTCTTAGGAGCATGTCATATTAAAAAGGTAGGCCTACAAATAGGTGACTTAAGTTTTGACTAGGAGAGATTTTATTTAATATTTTCATTATATGATCTGTCCTCATTATTTAAAAAATTATTTTATTTACTTTGCCCATCTTAGATGATTTTTAAAGCAGAAAATTCAGGGAAATGTATTGTACATACAAGGGGCTTCCAGTTGAAGAATAACATTTCATTTGAATATCATTCACACAAATAATGTTGGTCCGCTGGTTAAGAAAAATCTGCACAACAGTCATATGAAAGTAATAAAGATTATCTGAAAACTTGTAACTCACTTTAAAGACAGTGGAAACGATTTCAAGAGATTTTCTCACCACAGAGGTGGTTAATGTATCAAATCTACTGAAACTCTTTCGAATTCCAAAAATGTCTTACCTCCTCTTTCATCCTCCCTTAGTGCCATGATTTTCTGTTCACATTGCTCTGACACTGTCACCAGCATTTGCTGCAAGATAATAGATAGCTTAAAACAAGCACATGCACGGGTCTTTCCACCTCTAATGATAAATTTTACTTCCAGCGTACCATATAATCAACTTTTCCTCATCATTGAATTTCACAGATTTGCATAGATATTAATTTTATTGTTTTGACAGAGTCTTTGTGATAAACTAGATTATATTCTCCAAAAAATTTAGAAAATAATGAACAATAAATTACTCTGGACTTCCTCATTATTTTCAACCATGTCCTAATGGCATTTGACAAACCCCAAAATTCTTCAGAGAATGTAATTGAGTTTACACAAAGACAACTGTCTTCTGTATTCTTTAAGAAGACTTCCTCATTACATGTAAAAAGCAAAACTTCTACCGATACAAACTGAACATTTAAAAATACAGTCTAGCACGCACATAGCAAAATTAAATACAAACTTCACTACGTACATGTTTTAACTACAAAGAAAATAAAATGTAAGAAAAGAATTGGGACCTGAAAATCTGTCTGCTGTGTATGTGTTTCTCTATGTACATGTTCATCATGAACATGCTAGACTGTACATCTCTTATAATTCTTCAGTTTAATAAATGTTATTATACAGCTAAGTATACAGACCTTGAGAGGTTCTAATTGTCGAACTTGTTGTCTTTGGTAAGCCAGCATCATCTCATATTCATTTTTAACTGCCGAAAGGAGAGGCTTGTAGGTCTTGAAATCCTCAATGAGATATTCAAACACTTCTCTGTGGGCCTGGCAATAATAATAAGGATAAAGAATGAAATAGGTACCGTCTCAATTTGTGTACACAGTTATTGATAAATGAAAGTGTGGATTAATACAACAATTTTTCAATGCTTGATCTTAGAGTGTCTTCCCTACAAAAATCTATTAAGAAAGCAATGCTTTCATCTATCCACCTGTGGAAGATTTAGCCTTAGTAAAATCAGAGCAATTCTTCCTCTTCCAAATCGAGGTTCAACAAAGAAGAAATATACTCCTATAAGTTTGCCATTGAAATGGAAACCCTTGGCATCGGTTAATAGTTCTATTCTCATTGAAGTCTCTGGTTTGTTTGAATTTCATCTTATTTACTTTACTTTACTTTTCCAATCCAGAGGCTATAAGAGTTCTAGCCCTTCGGCCTGTCGATATGGCAAAGAATTTACAGGTTTTTATCAGCTGTGTTTTGTCGCTGTATAGAGTATTTCTGGCGTCTGGGGAGGCAGGTAGGTAGGTAGGCCTACTACGCAGGTCGCAAAGTGCAGGGCAGATAAAGAGGTGGTGTGATACTGTTTCATCCTGGCAGTCACACAACGGGCAGTCGGGTGGGGTATCCTTGTGGATCCTATTTAAGTAGCAATTCAGTGGGATATGTTGTGTTCACAGGCGAAAGATTGTGACTTGTTCTCTTCTACTAAGGGAATTTAGTAAATCTTTTGAGTTGGAAGCAGTCATGTGTTCAAATACAGGTCTTCCAGTTTTGGCCATTGCCCATCCACTCAGCCACTGTTCCCTGGTGTTGCATTTGATGATGTTCTTGACTGTCTGTTGTGACATTTGGGTTTTGAGGTTGTGTTCATGATACTCCCTTCTTGGAAAGGGTATCTGCTCTGTCATTTCCTGGGATGTTGCTGTGGTCACTGTAAAGTCAGGTCAACGGCATAGGTCGAATTTCATCTTCAAAAACACAAACAAAATGCCACTTGAAGTTGAAGCTCTTTTTGAAAAGAAAATTCTGTTTAACTTGGTTGTGGCAATGTATAACACCTCCCAAAACACTGTAACTGTCAGGTCAGTGGAGAGGGTGGATCTCTGATTTTTAAGAACCTCTCCATCAGGACGTAACAGAAAGCCATGAAAATCCCTCAAACAGCCCATATTCAAGAACACCCATACCTAGATTCAAATCAGAGGTCATTGCTCAGAAAGAAAAAGCGATAATAGCTTAGCAAATGGAGCACCTTCATGAATGCTGAGCTCTCACCAAATCCGGACACTGTCAGACTCTGAAACTAACTTGGAAAAGGATATTTTTTATCTCTGTTTATTGCTGCAAAACTTGCTCGTTATGAGGGGCACCACTAAATTAGCTCTTTTTACTATGGTAATCTTTTATTTTATTAAAAATTCTTTTGGGGATCAACACCTGTTACGGCTTTTAAAAACATATTGCTGTGTGGATTTTACTAAAAAAACATGGATAAAAGCAACTGAACTTTGGCAGCTGTTTTTTCGATTATTTTACCTCTGACACCAGGTCACCCCAACCTCCCTCAATTGCAAATATCTCCACTTCTACTCAAGATGAATGTTTTTTCATAAAAAAAAAAAACAAATGAATATACTTCAAGATTATATCTTTAACTCACTCAATCCCGGAAGTTTTTCTCGAAATTGTACCCAGAAACCGGTCATTTTGGCACTTATGTAAGGGCCCATTAGTAACCATAAATATAATCCAATTGCTTTGACATTTGACACAAAGTACAAACGAAGGCGGATCTTTAGACATACCAAGTTTGAAGTATGTAGCTTTAGTAGTTTTGCTTTGGAATGTTGTACAAATGTGGCATTTTTAGGAGCTTATAATTTTTTTTTAAACGGCCGATTGAGCATCTAGATCTATAAATATACTGTATGTCATGTATAATAGACTGTTGAATAATTTCATGAATTTTAACAAATGTGCGTGTGAGACAGGCAGAGAGACTCAATTACGAAACATGCTCAGCTGATCAGTGTGAACAAAATTGCTGAAAATGCCTTTAATAATAGGTGATTTCTACATGTGTAATGACAGTAGAAAAAAAATTCCAATATCCCTCTAAGCAGAATTGGCCGGGGAAATAATAAAATGAACTTTAGTATGTTTTCTGAAACGAAATAACTAGTATACGGAACCAAACTATAGAACCGAGTTATCTCAGTCGTGGAATTGAACTCAGCCCGCGAGCTGACCAAGATATCTCGATCACGGGATTGAGTGAGTTAACTCCATATGTTCAAATATTGACGAGCCTCTAATTCTACTGTGGCGTGACACGTATAATAGGCCTAATACGCTTGATTTTTTTCTCAATCATAAGAGACTTTTTCAGCAAAACAAGTGACAAAAGCAAGACTAAGATTAATAGCATTTTAAAATCTCAGACTTTGTTAGAATCCAAGTAAACATGAGCATTTTCAATGACCGAAAAATGATAGTAATGCTGTGAGAAAGCCACATATAATATATGGCCTACCTGTAATCTTAAATCACTTGGCTGAACATCAACTACTCCCAAGGCACGGAGTTCTTTCTTCAGAAAATTCTCTAGCTGCTCCAAGAATCTTGGCTTGGGAACCATTTGTGGTTTTCCCATGTCCTCTTCATTGACCAGCACCAGACTCTTGTTTTTGGACAACATAGCCGATGTGGAGGAAAGTGCCTGACCACTTGCATGGGCTGGCCAGGTGTCCAACTCTCCAGCTTTTGTATCCACATAGGGCTGAGGAGATAGATACAAGCAAAGCAAGATCTCATCAGTAATCTAGTTGATTGGCTAAATCCTATTAGTTTTTCTTATCTAATTGTTGTTGTTGTTTTTTTTCTTAACCATTGCTTAAATTTTCACAATCAGTGTCATCAAATGTGTGTATAAAACTCTATCTCTGCACATTGCACTAAAGAAAATCTACTACCCAACACCTAGATGATTTGAATTCACACACACTGTGTTATTTGGTATGAGTTTGTAAGAATATGAGCTACACATGTTGAACTGGTGTAATGTTACTGGCAACCAAAAAGTTTGTAATTTTTGTAAAAGTACCAATATATGTGAGTAAATGTCTGACAACTGGATCAGGCATTTAGAAGATATTACATATGCGCCCTATACATGCACAATCAGTAAAAAAAAAAACACTAGTCGTATTTAAAAATTGTATTTGGCACTAAAATTACAGATCCTGGAGCCAGGCACTGCTCATTTTTCTATTGCTTCTGGAAATAACTCTTCTTCAGGAAGAAAATAAAACTACAAAAAGATAATGTAATACTGTACATAAATAATATAATTAGAATTTATATTCCCAAAGCTCACACCTTACCTTTAGGGCATTTGGTGGAGGTAGAGGATGAAGCTTCTCATTCAGTCTATATGTGGGTCCATTCAATCCCTCGAGTCTCCGTAAAGCACGAGGTGATATACTGGTTACTTTTCCACTAATGTAGAAACGTCAAAGAGGGCGGGGTAGTAGGGTTGAAATAGAAATAAAAAATATTTACACCCAACTTCATTGAAGGATCTCAACTAAGTGGAAGCTTTAAAAGACCATGAGTTTGTAAATACCCCTCAAATTCAGCTAAGTGAATTCTTTTCTCTTCAGCAAAGACGTGCATAAAGAGAATCCAGGTTTTCTTGAACAAATGTCTGAGGAAGTTACTGAGGATCAGATGGACAGACAGGATCACCAACGAGGAAGTACTAAGAAGAACGAGACAGAGCCTAGTCAGAAATGAGGAGGGAAGAAGGCGTTGGCGATGGATTGGACATACTTTCAGAAAGTCAAGCAGCTGCATAACAAGGAAAGTGTTAGATTGGACCCTGCAGGGTAAAAAGTCAAGGGGAAGACCATGTGGAACCTGGAGAAGAGTCACGGAAATGGATGTACAGAAAAGTGGGAAGACATAGAGAGACATCAAATGACTAGCCCAGCGATAGGGAAAGGTGGAAAGTGTTTGTTCGTGGCCTGCGTTCTTGCCCCGCGTCAGTCTGGCCTCTGGCTCAGCTCACATGCGCCGAGTATCATCTCCCGTTCAATTCCAGTCTCGCGTCGGATCCCCATTCACGCAGGTCAAGTGTGTGTGCATCAGTCTGCTTGAGTTTGTGTGCGTTTGCGGCCTTCTTCTTTAACCGCCTGCAGTGGTTCGTAATCGAGGGATTTAATACGTCTCATTCAAAACCGCCAAGTTGGTAGCTCTATGTTCGTCCAGTGAAATTATAGATGAAATTGACCCACTTAGACATGAGGAGCTCGAAAGGATAGACAGGAAACAAGACTTGATCCATTTTTCTATACAAAATCTTTCAAATGAGCTTGATTTTGTATGAAATGATATTACCTGATAAAAAATAAGCTTGTTTGGTAGTTTTGAATACCATTGTGCAGGTACAAAAAACAATTTGAGTTCAAAACATTCTGAAATTGACCTATATTATCCCCTTTCGAACCTCAGGTCATTCATAACAACAAGAGCGTCTAGAAAGGTTATTCGAATGGGCATAACTACTCGTAATGTCTTATCAGCTTGTGAGATCGAGGGGACTATTCATGTGTTTGTTACACTTTATAAATAGAAAGCTATGAAAGATAGAGCGTTATTTTCATCATCGATTAACACATTCCCACGGTATCCGTGGCAAAAACACACGTTTTCCGGCTCTCACGCTGTACACCAATAGTACACACTGAGTAACCCCGGCAGCCTGCCTGGAACGTCTGACGTAATCGGTTGCTGATAAGATTCGCATTTCAGCACAGACGCAGAACAAAAGTTAATCATAATATTAACTGAAACGTGTTCAAATCCTACCTCAAACAAGATCATAATCTACAGCATGGTTTTAACCTTATGCTTTTATCATAGTATCAGTATCGTTGATTATCCACAATACAAAATGCAATAAATTTAACTTGAATAACAATATTAGGCCTACAATCTTGCCGTGCCTCTAGATCTAAATTAGTAGTAATTTTAAGCTTCGAAGTGGCCGTAGGCTAGCCTGAGAGTCTAGTCCTACTTTGATCTAGGTTAGTCCCTATCAACTCAAACCTGTTGAGTACACAGGTCTCATAAGATCTAGATCTAGTAATTATTCAGGTTTAAAATACATGCAAGTCAGTAGGCACATGGTTTCGTCTCAAATACAAATACTTTTATAGGAACTGCAAACTAAACATTTTTTACAAATCAGTAGGCTTTTTTTTTTTTTTGGTTAGTCTAGTGATCTTATTAGAAATAAGTACGGCTAGCCCTGCTGTCTGTACGGCTAGCCAACCAGTCTAGCCGTACTTAAATCTAGTCTTGCCGTCATTAATTAAGTACGGCTAGCCTCTTCCTACTTTAAGCTTTGCGCAATTGCTTTATCTTTAAAACCCATGTGACAGAAACAGAAATACTGAAGTGTTAAGTTACAGCTCTAATGAAATGCTCAAAATAATTCAATACCCTGAAAGAGGTGGCAGTCGTGCCACAACCATCTTTGGCTCTGCCATTTTTGTGTTCTTTCCAGCCTATCTTTTATCCGAGTCAGTCACTCCAAGCGTCAGCCACCATATTGTTTCGCTATGGTAACAGTCCTACTTCTGGCATAGTTGTTTGTGGGAAAACCTCATTCTGAAAATAAACCAACCAGCATAGTTACTTCTTTTACTCTTTCTTGATTTTGATATAAATACAATAATAATAAAGCGCCAAAACATAGAAATAATTTTTTTTAAAATAATATTCATAGGATTTACGACATTTGGGTCTAGTGCTAGATCTACTTCCGTTTTCATTTCATGTAAACAAACATAAACAGTGAAACTGAATGACGGATGACAAAAAGAGTTGGGAAAGTTTTCGATGAAACCACTACCGGCATTGACTTTCTAAGCTAAGTTTGCCTCACAGTGAGTCGTCCTCGGAACCCCTGTCTACCGTGGTTCTAATCTATGTAGTATGTTGGGTAGTTTTGATTTCAGTCAAGTCCAACCAAGGCCCAAGGTGTAAAAGAATAGGCCCTCATTTAGTGCGGCCCTAGTTTGTCAACAATCTTTCGCTCTTTGCCTGTCAGCCTGAAGGAGGCGAGGTGAGACTTTTGCGTTGTTTTTAATTTTTATCACACATGACATGTAGATGTATCTAGGCCTGGATTCTATATTGTTTTGCCAAATCAGCCCAAGTGTAAGGGTAGGAAGTTATTTAAATTAAACAACAACTTATAGATCTAAGATCTAGAAATCTATATATAAAAGACCCAGCTCAAATCTGAGGAAAAAGGGAGTGTATACAGACCCGGTAACCGGGAACAAAGTCACAATGTATACAGACCCGGTAGGGGAACTCTTTTTTTGTGATTTCGGAAA